CCCCCCCCTAAAAAAAAAAAAAAATTACTTGTTCTGGGACCAGCAGATTGCATAATGGTTACATTGCTGGACTCACACCTAGTTGGCTGCAGTTTGAGTCCTGGACCCAGAGCCGTAAAACTCACTCTAGTCACATGTATGTGTGTGCCCGAAATTCAAGAGGAGAATGGCAAAGGGATTGCAGCATGGCCATCCCCCCTGGACTTCTGTCTCTTGGCAAGTACACATGCCCAATAGCAAAAATCTCTCCAAAAAAAAAAAAAAATTATTTGTTCCTCACTACACTTAGAAGATACAGATGTTGTTTGCTTTTCATTTGGAGAGCCAGTTTCAGGAGTGCTCGGCTGGCCAAGAGCACTAGTATACGCCTCCGCCCTGCTTTCTACCCGCCATGCTGTGAGTCTTTGTGTGCGAAAGGCCCAAACCACTTTTTTTATTTCATCCAAATGTCCTGGTGCTCTCAGGAACATTTCTCATAGTTTGAATCCTTGACTTGTTGCCACTTTCTTCCCCCTCACTGTGCCCATCAGCCTGTGGCATCAACATGGATTTGGGTTTGCCCACCTTTGAGTGCCTGGCCTGAGGGCATTAGTCAGCTGCATGGTTCTACTGAAACTCGCACAAGCCGTCCCCTCACGCACAAGCACACTTGTGCTCTTTCTTCTTCTTACCTTCTTGCTTTTACATTTACCAAACTTTACCAAAGGGGCTTTAATGCCCCCCTCAGTTTTATTTATCTCTTCAATTTATTAATCCTAAGAGCTATATTTCTCTCCCCCTTCCTTTTTCTTAAAAAACAATGGTATAAGCTCAAGGAGGTATCTCTGAGACCAAAAAGCACTTTGGGAATGCCAGATGATGAGCAATGATGAAGACCATTGTGCTACCCACACTGCTTTCCTTGGGCCCAACCCAGAATATATAGAAAAGAAAAATCGTCAGGGCCCACAGATGGTATAGTGCTTACGTCGCTGACTCCACATGGCTGACTGTAGGAGTCCCAGACCCAGTGCCTTGAAACTCACACCGGGTGGATGTGCTTGCCTGCCCAAGATCCCAGGAGGAGAGGGAGGGGAAAGGGATTTCTGCATGACCACCCCCCCAGGGGTGATTTCTCATTTTCCCTCTCACTTTCTCTGTCACTCTCTTCAGCCCTAAGGTAAAAACCTCTGCCTCCCCCTCCCCCCCAAAAAAAGAAAGAAAAGAAAAATTGTCTTTATCACTGAAGACAAAGGAAATATTCTGATTTCACACATAGCAGCCCTATATGTTATCTTTCATATGGGAGCCAGCCTTTGAGGGGGTTGAGACCATGTGGTTCACCTCTTATACCCTCAGACTAAGGACAAATTTGATTTGCTAAATGACAGATTGAGTGGTGAGACTTTGCTCTACTAGTGATTGCGTTTTTGTGTTTCCCCATAGATCGAACAGAGAGTCCTTTTGTAGTTAATTAACTATAAAGTAAGAGCGGACAGTTGTAAAAGGGGCGATATCTTTAAGGCTTTCTGCTAGGCTGGGTGTAATATATTTTATTTCTAATCAAAAGCCAGAAAACGATCTCTAAACTAGCTCAGGAGAGAATCTGCCCTCCCCTGCCCCTCTTCTTTGATGTTGCTGTGAATCCTGGGGCGAGCTTTTATTGGTGGAGGATTGGCACATCAGTGGTGATAAGCCTTTTGAAGAGGTGCCCCTCCCAGTTCTTGGTGCTGAGGACTGACTCACTGTGGTTCTTTCTAACTGCTCCTTTTTAATAACTCGTGTATTGCACATGTGTTTCCCTGCTCCACCTTCAGGAGCCACGACTTACATCTCGATTTGTCTTGTTTGCTCTCTCTGCCTCTTGCTTGCTGTGCCCAGTTGAGCCTGTCGACGCCCGCCCCGCCGCTGACCGAGGACTGACCACTCGACCAGGTATCGGACCTGCTTCACTTCTACCTCGCAGCATCTCGTGCTTGAGCTTGAGTACACTGTGGCCCTTTTCTTCATTGGAAGCCTCTCTACATTCCACAGATGCAGAATAGAGTGTGAAATGACCTTAGAATGAAACTTTTTTAAATTCCCCTTGGCTTTTCTTTACATATTATTTCCCACATTCCTAATGAAGTGAAAATTATTTTCTGTTCCTGAACTTTCCTTTATTTTTTAATTGCCAGAGAGCACGTGCACCAGAGGGGTCACGCCACAGACCTTTTCTCGCTGTTTCTCCATCCCATCAGGATTTTGGATACACATATGAGCCCAGGATGTTCTTTAAGCCACGAAGGCTGGGATTTGAGTCACAGTCGGCCATGTGATATGCAGCTCCCTATACACGGGGCTTACGCTCTGCACTGTGGGGCTGACCCACTGAGCTTTCCTTCTGAAACATTAAAAAAAAAAAAAGAAGCTCCTCCAATTCTTTTTCTCTTTTCTTCTTTATTTTCTTTTTCTTTTTTAAGTGGAGAAGATTATTTAGAGTCTTTCCTCAAAAATGGAAGTCTAGGTGGATACAGCCTACGTGACAATGTCTCAGTTCCTTCCATGAATATCTCTTTCCTTTCTTGCTTGGTATGTGATGGGTCCTTTTTTAAGTAGATCAAACTCACACTTCAATCAGTTCAGTTACTGAAGCAGACATAATTTCCTGAAAATATCAGAATTGGTATAACTTCAGAACCAGAAATTATTTTTTCTCTTTTGTGGGTTGTATGTACGTATTCTTATGGAGTAGCTAAAATAACACAACAGATGTATATGAATAATTTTGCATATATGGTTTTTTTTAATATATTACATTAACACTGAAATAGACCATTCTTTCTTCAGTTTCTCAAGCTTTAAGAAGAAACACATTTCACCCTTTGTTCTGTATTTAGCCCATGGCTCACACTTAGTTTTAAGGATAGCGTCACGGCTCAGCAGTACGTGTACCTGATATCTACTCTATGCACAACCTCTCCCAACTGAGAGAGGCCAGTGTTTTCAGTGAATCGGGAAGAGGAAGGAAGTTAATGAATGGACAAGTCTGCCTATTCAGGAAGGATTTTGCTTCTAATAACACATATCTACCCATATTTCTTTTCTTCTTTATTCTCATATTGTCCCCAAGCAAAAGAGAACAGAGAATTGGCCTTCTTGGAAGATATTAATATGCAGAGGTCAGCCTTTGCTGCTTAGTTCAGATTCACTCAGTCATGGAGCTAGAGACACCGTCGGTCTCGCTGCCAGTGCTGGCTCGAGCCAGGACCGCCTCCAACCACAGTCACGGATGAAGACTGAGAGACTCCGCTCTGTGGCGTCTTGGTGATCTTAAGCTGTGATTAAGAGTGGCAGCAAAGGCTGTGGAGTGATGCATCTTGGCAGCTGATCTTGTTGGTTTTATGAATTTCTGTCTGTAGGGCTTTTAAGGGGGAACTTAAATTACAGTAAGTCAGAGACAGTTTCAGCTCCCCTAATGTTCTCCTTATTGTCAGTGTCACATAAGTGAATTTCAAGGAGCCAACAGTTGACATTCCCATTCTGCTCAGCCAACTGGGGAGGCCCAAGGCCGCGGGCCGTTTCAGTTCCACCTGCAACCAAAACCCACTCAGGTTGGTCATTTGCCTTAGGACTTTTTTTTATCAGTGCTTCCCACTTTATTCTTTAAAACAATAGCATGCGTTTTAATCTTCAAGCATAAAATGAGATTATAAGCATTCATTCAACCAATTTTACTAAGTTTCTATACTGGGCAAGCTGTGACTATGTGTTCTTGCTCAGATATCCAGAAAGAGGTGACATCACAAGTCCATATTTTTTGCCCTTTTTTTTTTTTTCAAAACCAAAAATGAAAAGGACATTTCTATACATTGTCAGCAAAACAAAAATTAGCTGTTTTAAGGGAAGAAATAGAGAATAGTTAGTGGTGTTGTAGGGATGGGAGAAAGCCATCCAAAATCTTTCTTAGAAAAATAACGTTATTATTTAAATTGATGTTTTGTGAAGATCAATGCGCTAAATTCTGTGGAGGTACAAATAAATAAATAAATAAATAAGCAAATAGTAAGGGCCAGGCCCACAGCAAAGTAGTTGAGCTCTCTATGCAGGAAACTGGCCCCTCATGGCCAGTGATTTCAGTTCCTAGTGGCTTGAACAACACTGCAGGAATGTGTGTGCGTGCACGCCCGGAATCCTGGCGGGGTGGCACAATCGAGGAAAAAGGATCATGGCAGTATGTCTCTGGCAAATGCATGTGGCCTTTAAAGTTTTTTTTTTTTTTTTTTTAATAATTAAATGGTGAGGTCGTTTCTCTCAGGATCTTGAAGTATGATAGAAGGAATATATTTTGTGCATCTAGAAAGATGAGCTTGAATGGAGGAGGCAGGGAAGCATCGCAAGTGTGCGGTGGTGGGAGCAGATGGACACCAGTGCAGCGGGTGTTAACCAGGGACCTTTCTGGAGATGAGCTTTGAGAGAGACTGTGAAAGCTCTGAGGCACGTGGATTGGCTGAGAAGGGACCAGCTCTACTCAGAGGCGAAGATGGCCCAGGCCAGGATTCCTTTCTTACACTGAGGAAGGCCTAGTTTCCCAGGAGAACGTGGCCACAACTGGGAAACCAGCTCAGATCCAAAGCGAGGGCGATTCTAGGTAAGGAGGGTTAGTGAGTAGGGATATTTGCCGGCTACGTGTATGAGGACACGCGAATACCGTGTGTTTTGTCCTTGTACTGAGTCTGTTAAACATTTGGATTAATTTCAAAACCGGTTTTATAGCATCGATTTAGCTCTTCGTCACATTTTATGTGATTGTATACTTCAGTCTGATATGCCAAATTAATCTTTAGACTTTCCAAACTTAGAAACCCTTCCCAGGATAGTCATGTGCCATTTAAATAATGGCATTGTTTTTGAATAATCACTGTTGTCACTCAGAAATGAGTGACAAAAGTTTTCATTTTCCTCCCACTCAAGGCTATATAATCATGACCAAGAAAAGTGACTTGTCCTTGAGTTCATAGCTGAAAAGCCAGGACGCTGTAACTGTGAGAGCCTGGTGTCACTGCGGGAACACAGTAATGGCAGTGATGATTCCTGGGCTAGGGGCCATTACAGCTACTCTTCTTGGCTCATTTCCAGGAAGACCTCATTTCTGAAGGATAGATTACCCAATTTGACGAGAATGAAAAGGAGAAATACACTAGCAGGTTCTTTACATGGTGTGGAAAACTACCCTTTCTATTACAACGCATTACTGCTTGCTCTCCATTCCTCATAAAGAAAAGCCAGGTCTTTGACCCCAAGCCATGCATTAAGTGTCATGAAGAACAGCCCTCAAGTGAACAACAGGCTCTCTCCACTTATACCATGACTTAGAGTGAAAGAAAGACTATAGTAGTTTTAACTATTAGTTATAGTTTCTCTTTAAATATAGTTTTAACTATTGCATTGCTAGATCCCAATGACAGAAAAGAGTAAGCTGTAAAGAGATCACCGTGTTTGGGGTCAACTCTGTGGTGCAGTGGTAATGTGCTGTTCAAAGAGAAGCCAGAATCCCCGCCTCATTCGCTGAAACATGCCAGGTACATACATGAGTGTCCAATATCAAGCAGGCTGGGGGACTGGAGAAAGGACACTGTGGCATGGCCAGCCTCTGCCGAGGGTGCTTCTCGTTCTCGCGCTCGTGTGCACGTGCTCTGTCATGAATAAGGAAAGAAATAAAACATTTCTGCAAGGATCTCAGATCTAAAAGGGTTATAGATAAATCTATATGAAATATAGATGGCTAATAAAAATTTAGTGTGTTGAGGACTGCTCCATGGCCTAATGGTTAAGGAAGCTGGATCCCATATGGCCAACTGTGCACTTTGAATCCCAGCCCTGACAGTTTGAAAAGCATGCCGGGCAGATATGCATGCCCCAAATCCTGACAGAAGGAGGAATGGAAGAGGGATTGCAGTATGAACACGCTCATGGCATTGCTCAATACCTCTCTGTCTTTCTTTATCTCTTTCTAGTGACAGCAGGTGTCTTCTGGCCAAAACAAAAAGGACTAAAAATTAGTGTCAGGAAGGTTGGGGGATAGAATAAGTTGAAACTTAAGAAAAAACGTAGTAATTTTATGAGCAACAGTGGCACAAGCAGCAGGATACCGCTGTGTAAGGCTGGGGTCACAGGAGAGGCATGGGTTTAGTTCCCAAGTCATCCTAAAGCTGGCAGTGATGCCTATAATCTCAGCTAAGTAGGAGACTAAGACTGGGGCCAGCACATACAGCATTGTGAGATCTGTCATCAATACCTCTCTCCCTCGCTCCTGCTCGCTCCTTCTGTCAAAGAAAAAAAAAGAGAGAGAGAGAGAGAGATTTTTAAAGTAAAAATGTAAATGAAAATGAAGAACTCAGCAACTCTTAGGGTGAGGAGTAAGGGCTTAAGTCTATGAGAGGCCCAGAGTTAAAAACTACGATAGAGCAAGATGAGAAAAGAAAGCACTGGCCTCTTGATTTAGTTATCTTTTGCAGTGTAACAAATGATCCCAGAACTTAGCATCTTACAGAATTCTTTTTTTTTTTTTTAGAGAGAGAGAGAGAGAGATTTTTGCTATAGGGCACATGTACTCACCAGAGAAACAGAGACAGAGAGAAAGAAAGAGAGAAATCACTACCTGGGGAGGTTAGCTACACCATAGTCCCCCTTCTCTTCTCAGGATTTTGGGCTCACATGCACTCTCACCCCCACATGAATTTTAAGCCACTGGGCCCAAGACTCAAGCTGTGGTCAACCATGTGGGAGTCCAGCAACATAATCACCACACTATCTGCGGGTCCCTAAGCGTTTAATTTTTTTAAGGTTTTCTGTAGATCCAGATTTGGGGGGTATGTTTTAGGTGTGGTTCTGGTTTAGCATGTTCCATGAGGTTATAGTTACAACATTGCCAGAGCTGCAGTCACCTGAAGGCTTGAGTGGGGCCGGTGTGTCTATTTCCATGATGGTTTAATACCTCAGTACCTTAGCATGTGTACTCAGAAGACCCTCTTGAGCCTTCTTGCAGCATGGCAGATGGCTGCCCCCACACCAAGTGATCCAAGAAACAGTAAGAAGGACTCTTAAGTGCTTTTTATGACCTTGTGACAGAAGTCATATACCATCACTTCTACCATACTCTGTTCATTTTTTTTAATTTTTATTTGTTATTATTACTTTTTTATTATATTTATTTGTTTGTTTGTTTTTTAGAGAGAGACAGGGAGCAAAAGAGAAAGTGAGGAAGCAAACCATCAGGTATAGGATTCAAACTGTGGTCGGCCGTGCGCCTTAATCACCATGCCACCTGCCAGCCACATTTGTTCATTTAAGAACAGGTCTCTACTTCCAGGCCACAGGTTGATATTGACTATGGCTCTGTTTTCAGATTGATTTTGTTTATTTTTTAAGATTGTTTGCTGTAGGGCGTGTGAACTCACCAGAGAAAGAGACAGACAAAGAGAAAGTAAGAAATCACCTCTCTCGGGGGGATGCCACGCTATTACCCCTGATCCTCCATTCTCTTCTTGGGATTTTTGGCATGCATGTATATGTACCCGGTGTGGTTTTCAAACCCCTAGGTCCAAGACTCGAACCATAGTTGGCCATGTGGGGGTCCTCACCTTATCCACTGTGCAAATGCTGGCCCCTTCAGATAGGCTCTTAAGTGGAAGCTTTTTAAGCAGCTGGACAAGGAAAACCTGTTGTCCCAAACATTATGAACCCCCTCAATTTTGTCAAATTATCCTGGCTTTTTTTTAATACAGGCCACACTGGTACTGGCATGTCGTGTGCTGTGCCCCCTGTACTTCTCGGTGTTGACAAGCATGTGGCAGGTTTCACAGCACTTTGTGAACAGTACTGGGAGAGCAGTTTGATCTAGAGCAAAAAGTTAGTTCTGTGGGAGCTGAAGGGGCTGGGAGTGTGGAGCCCAAGTGAGACAAGAGCCAGCAGGAGCATGCCCTCTTCTCCGGCGCTGTAGGTACCTGACACCTGTTGAAGGCTATGAGATGGAAGGAGGGTGAGCTTTGCCTGTGTTGAACCAGGCTGTAGGGGTGGAGGTTAGAAGGAAACTGGTGCTGGCTGTGAGAAAGGCTGTTCTAATGGCAAAGTTACCCGAAAATGGAGGCAAATGGATATATCCCTCAGCTTGAAAACAGGAGCTGACTATCTGCCCTGGATGGGAGCATTATAGAGAAGATGAATGTTAACGCCCTCCTCCTAAAATTGTGATTTTTTTTGAAGTTTATTTCTTGAGAGAGTGAGCAAAGCACCTATAACAGGGTCTTCAGGTCTTCACAGTACAATCCACCCCAGCTCCAGCCGGGCAGACCATAGGCACCTAGGAAGACCTGCTCTCAGGTGCCTTCTAGTAGGGCCTCAGTGTTGGAGGAGCACTGCATTACTGCCACACCACAGCTGGTCACCATCTGATCATGGGATTTCAAAGCTACAGCTTGGGCGTGAACATTTATACTTTGCACTTTCATTTATAGAGTGACTTTGCATTTTGTTTTTAACCTTCAGATTATTAGAGTAATGAAACTCATTGTAACACTAGCATAAGACCCATATAGCAATTATAAAGAAGGGATAGTTAGTAGGTTATAAGTTCTTTTTAAAAAAAAAAAAAAAAAGAATTATTTATTTTTTATCCCATCATTTACTTCAATTTGACCAGAGAAAGACAGACACACAGAGAGAAGGAAGGTGAGAAAGCAAGCCACCACGCCTGGGATTTGAACCGTGGTCAGCCATGTAGGAGTGTCCAGCACCTTGACCATTATACCGTCTGCTGGTCCCGCATGCCATCTGTGGCCCACCCAGTAGGTTATAAGTTCTATTAGTCCTCCCCCCCAATTTTTTCAGTTATTTACTTTGAGCTCTTTATTCTGCAGATGAACCAGTTACATTCTGTATCTGTAATTAGAGTACTTAACTAAATAAATTATATAATTCTACAATGCTTCACTGCATAGATACATGAATATAATATATCTATAATTGAACAAAGCCCCAAAGTAGCAGTTTGTTCTACCAGGTAATTAGTGCTCATTTTTAAAGGCCTTCATTATTTTTTCTGAAATAATGAGAGCACATGGAAAAAGACACATAATCAGCTAAACAATGAGGCCCTAACCCAAGCCAACATACTTCCAAGCTTAAATCCTTGCCAGCCTCCCAACCAGCATTTATCTTAGGTTTTTCCCTCTCTTCAAAAATTATAGCATGTGTTTAAAGGTAGTTAAAGTCTGAGGTTCATATTTCTTTATGCTTTCATTTTTTTATAACTTAAAATAGATAGTGGTTCAGAATTAAAATGCGGGGTGTCATTCTTTTTGAAGAAAGTCACTAATCTATTTCCTTCTATCTTCAGGCTCAGAAAAAAAAATTTGGTACCCCCTCCTTGTTATTGATTATCGGTAAAACTAATTAACCTGCATATTTTAATCATGGCATAATACAGGTTCTGGGTTGACAAATATCAAGACGGAAGAGATCTCCGAGGTGAAGATGGATGCAGAGTTCCGACATGATTCAGGATATGAAGTTCATCATCAAAAATTGGTATGTAAAATAATTTACCTCCTCCTGCTACTCTGATGTGTCTTGCCAAGTGACATACTCAAGTCTGCCAGAAATCAGACTAAGGGAAAATTTAAACAAAAAGGCCACCGTGTAGTGTAGTGGTTAATGGAGCTAGACCCACATGGCCACCTCGGTTCAAATAACAAGCCATGTGCATGCCTGAAATCCCACCCACAGAGGGGATCCTCCCTCTGGAAAGTTTATGTACCCTCTGACATCAAAAATAAGTGAATAAGGTACCAGAAGATGGCCTAGGTATTATGTCACTGGGTTCTCACATGGCCAACCACAGTTCAAGTCTCAGACCAGTGACTTAAAAATTGTGCCAGGCACATGTGCGTGCATGCCCAAGATTCCAGGAGGAGAAGAGAGGAGATTGCATTGTGGCCATCCCCCATGGGGATCATTGCTCACATGCCCTCTCACCATCTCTTTCTCTCCTTCCACCCCCATGCCACCCCCGCAAATGCACATGTCCTAAGGCGAAAACCTCTTAAAAACAAACAAACAAATAAATAAATAAAATGGTTGCCTATAGGATCATCATGAAAACATGAAGGAAAAAAAGAGGCTTTACATACTTCTGACTAGAAGACAGCTAAGCCCATGCCAGACTTAGAATCTAGATTAATTCCAATATGGCAGCCACTTTCATTAAATTCTACTCTATTTCCCAGGGAAACAAGTTTATCATAGATTTCTTTGAAGGATCAGAGTCCCAAATAAACACCACTTGGTTTTATAGGACACTTTTTATGATGGTTATTCACTTAAGTTCATACATGTAACTTCAGTATCTCCCATGTTGCTCCTGCCCTCCCCTCCATCCATCTTCTACTCCCCACGATTTCGGTACTCGTATAAGATCCTGGGCACTCTGCCAAGGTGGGTGGGGGCAGGAGCTGAGGAGGACCCCACGCTGTCCTCAGTAGTATTACTCATCAACAGGTTTGGGCAAGGAGAACAGCAGCTTCCTTTTATGATAAAATTACTTTTCCCTCTCTAATGTTAGACTTGTGGTAAAATAAAAAAGTAATCATCTCTTTTGCAGACAGCTCCAGTGGTTATATAAAATCCCTTATCAAAAGCTTAGAAATTCAGATAATCAAATCCTGGATGATGTTAGGGTTCCTTCCATATCTTTGAACACAGTAAGGAGGTTAACTTAATAAGACAATTTTATTGCACATTCAGTGGTGAACAAAAAATGGTAAGAAAATTCTCATAGCAGTAATAGTTGACATGTACTCACAAGCACTTCCTTTTTGTTTGTGTGTTTGCGTGTGCTTTTTTCAAGAAAACATCTCTCCAATATTCATAAGTAAAAATGTCTCTCCAATATTCATAAGTAAAACGTATAAATCCTAGTATTAATCTCCAAGAGAAAAAGTATTGTTTATGCTTCTTGTCACTCTAAATAATAGCAAATTAAAAACTGACTTGGAATTCAGGTTTGCACGTTAACTCCCATAATCTTTTTGTAAACAGGCGTTAGTTTCTTAAAGCACAGTTTCCACGGGTGGGCTAATCCCTTATCAGTCATTGTAAAATCAGGGATACTCTTCATCTGGCTAATGCTGAAAAGCTTAAAAAAACACTTGAAGAAGCTGCAGAAATGATGGGAGCTGGTGCGGCAGAAAGCTGCAGGTTCATGTGCAGGTTTGCAGTCCCTGGTCCCTGTGTCTCTGCAGTTACACTAACTCCTGTAATGTGACAGTGACGAATGGCAGCGGCAGCAATTAGGAGGACCAGCTCCCTCTGCTGAACTAGTTGATAAGATAATGTCCTATAATTAGCGCAATGAATATTACAAAATTACAGTGTTTTCCCAAAGACGTAGAAATATGTCCTGGCTTGCATTTATTGCTGCTTACCTCACACTAGTATCATTAGCTAATTAATGATTTGCTTTTTATAAATATGTTGAACTAGCATATTTGTTTGGTAAGGGAAATAATGATGAACAATTCCTACTTTTATTATCGATAAACCATGAACAACATCCCTTTAAAACTTGCTTCATTTGCAGTATTTTACATCGCCTTTTTAGATTGCTACGAGGTTCATGTGAACCTTGACAATTGTCATTTCACTATCTTGAGGCCGTACTGAAAGAATTATTTAGGGAGTTATTTTAATTAATATATTAGTCTGGAGGAATATAATACAATAAATTTCTCATACTCAAATTCCTTCTCTGCCGTGTTCTCCAAATCATTTTTATGTTTCATCCAAATAAAAAGCAAAAGTAAAGAAACATTTTTAATTTTTGCTTAAGATGACGTAGTAAGAAGGCGTAATGTGTGTGACTGTTATAACTCTTGTTGTCTGTTACCTCTTCCCTCTGAAACATCATGCTTTTAAAAAGCATCGTGCTTCTCAAGGTCTGAGTCCTACTGAATTACTGTGGCTAGGCGTAGGTAGCAAGATGTCCTTTTTTTTTTCTGTTTAACTCTTTTGTTTCAGAATGTTTAGCTTTATGTATTAAGAATGTCTCTCCAAGGAAATGAGGACATCTGTGAGTTTGAAAAGCACCTAAGGCACGGTTGCTTAGAGTCACGCATCAAGCCTCTCAGTTTAAAACTGTTGTGACGGGGAAAATGCTGACCTCCTTTCATAATAACAATCTGTGCATTTACCGCTCTACAGAGATCCAAGAGCTATCATCCCACCATGCAGCAAATGCTGCGCCTGTCACAAGGTTTCAGGTCCCTGCAGACTTCTGTTGTGACATGTGGGGGTGGGGGGAGTCAGATCCCTAGGACTAGGGAAGCCACGTTATACATCATTCTGTAGACTATGATTGTCATTTGTAATAAGTAGAATATGTAATTTCTTTGCTAAGCAAGCAGTAAGGGACTCCCCAACGCAAACCTCTAGTGTAAGATGCATTTAGGGTAGAGAATGTGCTGAAACTATTTACACACCTCGTCACATGCCTGCTCTACTTACAGACCTTTTTCTTGATTTCTTTTCAAGGTGTTCTTTGCGGAAGACGTGGGTTCAAACAAAGGTGCAATCATCGGCCTCATGGTGGGTGGCGTTGTCATAGCAACGGTGATTGTCATCACCTTGGTGATGCTGAAGAAGAAACAGTACACATCCATCCATCATGGGGTAGTAGAGGTAGGTGCACATGGCTGCGTGATTGCGTGTGAGAAGTAAAGGGAGGTGACGGGAGATTATGCTTAGCATGAGGCTAAGGACCATCCAGGTAACTCTGAAAAAAAGTAATCTTCCTCCATGGTACTCGGGCTTCAATTCTTCTTTTCTTGCCATGGTTTTCATTAATTCCAGTTTACTGTGAATACTGTGGTGAAAGCACTGAGATTCTGTGTGGTTATTTCAGTTTATAATCTGAATTGAAATTATTAAAATAACAATGATAATTTTTTATCGTGATTACCCTTAAATATATTTTTGAAAACACAAACAAAAAGCATTATTAGAGATTAGAAATGGGGCCAGCCTTGTAGCCTAGTGGTTAAAGGAGCCAGATCCCACGTGGCCAGCAGCAATTCAAACCCCAGCCACACTGGCTTGAAACACACACTGGACACATGTGCATGTGTGTCCAGAATCCCAAGAGGATAGAAAAATGAAGGAGAGGGATGGCAGTGTAACCGCCCCAGCTTCGGAGGGTGCTTTCACCCTCTCTCTCTCCCTTTCTCGCCCTCTCATATGTGTGCACATATGTGCCTGATAGCTACTAAAAAAAAAAATTTTTGATGTTAGAAATGAAAAAGAGGGGCCAGCAGGTGGCATGGTGGTTAAGACACTAGACTCCTATATGTCCAACTGCAGTTTGAGTCCCAGACCTGGCGGTTTGCTTTCTCATTATCTACTTTCTGTCTCTCTGATGAGCACACGTGCCCTATAGCAAATTTTTAAATAATAATATCAAAAAAATCATTCCTTAAAAAAATAAAAACGGGAGGTATTCTTAATAAAAAAAAAAAAAAAAAAAAGACCTAAGCATATTTATTTCTGATTTGGTTTGATTTGTTTTGTTTTTGTCTTAAATAGTCTAGTCTCTAACTAAAAATAGTAATAGTGAATAATACTCATTTTCAGTAAGGCTCTTCTTACCTTTAAGTTTCATACAAAAATCACATTGTTCCAAAAAGCTCAGCAAAACATGCATGATTGCTGCCCAAGATGTTCTTTGCCCTATTCCCCTGCAGTTCCACCTGAAATCATCTTAGTTTCAGGGTGTTTGCACAGTAGCTCTAGAGATAAAGAGACGACAGGAAGGTGATAATCATGATTACTGTACAGTTAACTTCCTGTAGAATCTTTCTCCCCACAGCCACTATAGCTCAGAAGCAGTGACTTACACGAGTAAAATAGAGTACCTACAATGTTCAAATACAACTTCTTAAATTCAGGATATAAAAAAAGAGAGAGAGAGAGAGAATTTACAACTAAGTTTTTTTTAATGCATGTAAAATGCAGTTTTGGTGGGGAAAACATTTTTGGAGCTCATAATATGTGCAACTTTTTAGAAATCTGTCTTTTAGAGTGAATAATACATTTTGAGAATTACAAGATTTCTGGAACTGAAAGAGCTCTCAGTGATCAATTGGGTGGATTCTCATTTTGCAGCTGAGAACACTGAGGCTAAGACAGAAGCATCCTCCCAGTGTCAAACTAAATAGGGTCAAGGGCAGAGTCTAGACTTCCCCACTGTCCTCATTCCTCTTTCCATCAGGAAAACATCCAGCTATTTGCAATGAGTTGAACATCTCACTAACCCAAGGACGTGTGCTCCAAACCATTCTGGATGATAAAAGGGCAAGAACAGTTTAAATAAATAAAATTTCTGGCAAAACCAGAAACCTCAGTTTTGTTCAGCCTTAAAATCCACAGGCTGGGACCAGCAGTTAGTGTAATGGCTATGTCGCTGGACTCCCATGTAGTCGACCGTGGTTCGAGTCCCAGACATAGTGGCTTAAAACTCACACCGGGCGCGTGTGCGTACATGCCCAAGATCCCGAGAGGAGAATGGAGGAGAAGGGATTGCAGCATGGCCATCCCCCCTGTGGGGTGATTTCTCACTTTCTGTCTCTGTCTGTCTAGCAAGCTCACACGCCCTATGGTGAAAACCTCTTCAGAAGAAAAAAAAAAAGGAGAAAAATCTCCACACGCTACTTGTTTTCAGAAGCTGCTGATGGAAATTGATTTTGATTTTGAGCCCTATTTCCCCAGTCCACACTGGTGTGGATGTGCTAACGAGTGTAAGGAAGGAAACCCAAGAAACAACAGGTAGCAAGATGAAAAAGAACGGAATGGCTTCAGACACTAGAGTGAACAGGTTCAAAGGTGCAGACTACACCACCAAGTTTAGCCCGTTTGTCTTTGATAAGAGTACGTGTAAGCCTGTGTCCCTGAGACAGTGTGAAATATATTATCATTAGCATCAGTTTCTCTTATGTCTGTTTTGTTTTTAAGAGAGATTTTTACTATAGGGCGTGTGTACTCACTGGAAAGACAGAGAAACAAAGAGATAGAAAGCAAGAAATCACCCCCATCACCACCGCCCCGCACCCCGAGGGGATGGCCACACTGAAATCCCTTCTCCTCCATTCTCCTCTCGGGATCTTGGGCATGCACACGTACATGCCTGATGTGAGGATTTCTTGGGGATTTTTTTTTTTTTTTGAGGTGTTTTTTGTGTGTTTTTTTTTTTTTTTTTTTTTTTGGAGAGGTGTTTTTTTGTTTGTTTGTTTGTTTTTGCTATAGGGTGTGTGTGCTTGCCAGACCAACAGGGAGAGACAGAGAGACAGAAAGCGAGAAATCACCCCCCAGGGGGGATGGCCACACCTCAATCCCTTCTCCTCCATTCTCCTCTTGGGATCTTGGGCACGCACACACACGCACCCAGCGTGGACACCTGGTGTGAGTTTTAAGCTGCCAGATCTGAGACTCAAACTGCAGTCGACTACCTACCTGGAAATCCAGTGATATAACCATTACACCATCTGCTTGTCCCAGTTTCTCTTATTTCTTCTCAAATCATTGTTTTATTTTAATTCCATGTTTGTACAAGTAAAATTATTTCATACTTGAGTAACTCACAAAATCCTTCTCACTTCTTTAATATAATTATGTTTTCAAATGGCCTTGAATTGATGAGCCTGCCCAAGGAGCAGCTTCCTGTCTGCAAAACTTCTATCAGTGAGTGCCTGTCTTCAGTGCCAGAGGCCAAAGAGCATGTACTGGTTTCCAAAGGCTGTCATAACAAGGCACCCCAGACCGGTGGATTTAGCAGAAGAAGGTTATTTTCTCCTAATTCTGGAGGCCAGGAACTTGAGATCAGTTGTCATTGGTTTCTCCTGAGGCCTCTCCTTGGCTGGAAGAGGGCAGCCTTTTCTCTTTGTCTTCACATGGCCTTCCTGCTGCATGTCTGTGTCCTCATATCCTCTTCCTCTTGGACTGGGGTCAACCCTGATGACTTCTTGAACTTGTATGACCTCTTTGACCCTGTCTCCAAATAGTCACATTCTGAGGGGTTAGGACATCACCATAGGGAACCGAAGGACACGGCTCGTTCCCTTCCTGGGGCCCGGCGATGCTGGGCAGAAAAGTAAGGCCCCTCCTCCAGCGGTGAGTGGGCTTGCCAGGGACTTTTCTAGGACGTGCCTCCAGGTCCCACCGCAGACCTACGGAATCAGAATTCCTAAATAAGAGACTGGGGATCCGAGTGGCGAACATTTTCCCAACTGCTTGGGACATGCAGTCAGGTTTGAGAATCACTCAGAGCGTAGAAAATGCTGTCTCTCGTCTCTAAGATAACTGGTCGCCTCTAAGCACTCTTTCAGCTACCTGGGTTAAATGTTTATTCTGGTCAGCTAACAGAAACGTCTCCTTGGACTTGGAGGAGAAAAAGTTGACATTTTGACCCAGATCCTGAACAAAAAAGAAATGAGCTTTTAAGCCAGGAGGCAGTCTTGCAGACATCAGGGAAAGGACAGTTGTTCAGTTCTTCTAGTTCGTTCACTTTGCTCTCCACTTGAGAGCAGCTACCAACCCCTCTAACTACTTGGTCTTGAGTTTTATTTATTTCTATTCACCTTCTTTTTTAAAGACTGTAGAGAGCCTGGAAACTATCCCCTTTCCCTTTCTTTCTTTTTTTTTAAAAAGAATTATTTACTTAACTTTACTTATTTATTTAAATTTGATCAGAGAAGAACAGAGAGAGAGAGAGAAAGTGAGAAAGCAAGCTGCCAAGTCTGGGACTCAACCGCAGTCAGCCATGTGGGAGTCCAGTGTCCTTAATCACGCCACCTGCCAGCCCCGTGGCCTGCTCATGATGACCCACCCCAGCCCAGCCTCCCAGCCTGGATTATCACTGGCACACCTGGCATGTCCAGGGAGGTCTCTGAAAGTAAACCCAGAACATTCCCACGTGGTCAGCCTCACCGAACATTGCATTGCCACTGTGCGCCATCAGCCCTCTCAAAGCTCATTTCTGTCTCTTCCATAAGCCATTCTGTCCAGTGCCAGGCTGTCTTTACAGCCATGTTGGACTAGAACTTACCTGAGGTACTCTTCCCCCTCCCTGTCCTCAAGAAGGTATAGGCTAGCTGGGGTGGGTGGACTTGAACACCAAGTGCTCCAGCCCAGCCCAGGCGTTTCCTGGTGACAAAGCACTGTTCCTCTCAGAGCATCCGCAGCCTGAATTGAATAGGGAGGTGGCCCTCCTGTGAAAATCCTGTCCCTGCCTTAGTTGTTCTCAACTACATGGAGGGACCTTTATTTCCAACTCTAGCTTGCCTTCTTCATTATAAGCTATCTCACTGAAAACAAAATTAAGGAGCATATCCATGAATATCCAGCTGGCCTGGCCTCTGTCGCTGGAGACAGAATACCATTGTACTTCACACCGCCAGCCTGTGAACAAAGACTCTTGAGGAAAGCCTTTGTCTCTGGGTAATCTCTTGTTCTTACAAGGAAAGAATCCTGCAGGTCACAGAGATCAGAAGCCTAGGGGAAAATCTAAGGGATAAAAACACAGAAATGAAAATGAGCCTAG